CAAACCGGCTTCGGCTGATTTTTAATAACACCAGTGCACTTCTTTGGGGTGGTGTCTAAGACATGATTATTTAACATTTGCCAAAATGTTTAGAATAGTGTAAACATCATCAATCCACCAACTGGATTGTGACTTCTTTTGTGCTCTTGATTTTTTTCTCAAAATTGCTTTTTGTCAAGCACATCCATATGGAATATAATTGTATGTACTGCTATTTAAAAACTAAAGGGTCGCCCTATCCGGTTTGGCTCAATGAATAGAGCGTCAGCCTGCGGACTGAAGGGTCCCAGGTTTGATTCCTGTCAAGGGCACATACCTAGGTTGCAGGCTCCATCCCCAGTAGAGGGTGTGCTGGAGGCAGCCAATCAATGATTCTCTCTCATCATTGATGTTTCTATCTCTCCCTCTCCCTTCCTCTCTCTGAAATAAACAAAAATATAATAAATATATATATAAATAAACTAAAGGGTCATCAAAAACAAGAACATTCTGAGAAATTGTCATGGCCAAGAGGAGCCTAAGGAGCCACGATAACTAATGGAATGTGGTGTCGTGTAGGACAGACCTGGCAAAAGACATTAGGGAAAAACTAAGGAAATCGGAATAAACTATGGGCTTTAATTTGCAATACTGAATTAATGCTGGTCCATTAATTGTAACAAAAGTACCATAGTCGTGTAAGCCTTCAAGAGAGGAAACAGTGTGGGGTATAAAGGAACTCTGTACGATCTTCTCAATTTTTCTGTAAATCAAAAGTGTTCCAGAAAGTTATATAAACTGTTCTAAAAATAGCTTAAAAATAAAAACTAAAGTTGTTACTTGAACTTCAGTTGTTTAAACTTTTTACTCTTTTATCCATTTGTTTAGCTGCTTATTCTGCTGCTTAAAGACCTTTCATTTTTTTTTAATATTTTTTTTTATTGATTTGAGAGAGAGGAAGGGAGAGGGATAGAGAGATAGAAACACTGATGAGCTGCCTCCTGCATGCCCCTTACTGGGGATGGAGTCTGCAACCAAGGTACATGCTCTTGGCCAGAATGGAACCCGGGACCCTTCAGTCTGCCAGCTGATGCTCTAGCCACTGAGCAAAACTGGCTAGGGCAAGACCTTTTGTTTTTATAACTGCTGGAGAGGTGCCTGCTGGATGCTACGCATGAACAGATTGTAGACACTTGGGTTCTGAATAAATTGTGTTTGAATAAAGGTCATCATGATTGTTTCTTTTTATTCTTACTCTAAAAGAAAATAATATATCTGGCATCTTTTAGTTGTACCCTTTTATCTGCCTCTCTAATAAACATATTTTTCTCAAAATACATGAAAGTGCATAAATGTTCTTTTAAATTCAGAGTGGAAGGGTATCTTACAACAACCTATGAGATCAATATCCTGAAATGAGGTGCCTAAGATACTTAATCCTACCAGCATTATTAGAGCAAATGCAACCATAAAAGGTGTCAAAAGTCGGGTTCATTGGTAAGGCGTTGAGACGCCCTCCCGCGGGTCCCAGGGGAAGAGCTGGGAGACATGCTTTGGGTTCTTTAGGACGCAGGCCAGGGTTCAGATATGTGCCCACGTGTCTTACAGAGGCCTCTCCAAGAAGCACAGGTGAGGAACGCATGGGCGGCGCTGGACCGGGCCTGCTCTGCTCCAGGTGCTCCGGGGAGACCGTCATAGCGGGTGTCCTTTTCCCACGGATCTGCAGGCTGCATCCCTCCCAGGTGAGGTCAGGGCCTGCACGGGCTCAGGGGGCACTGGCGCTCTGCCGCCTTTTACCCTATGGAATTAGGGGCGTGGGGGCAGCTCCCAGAGACGGGTGATGGGTGGAGGAAAGCAGGCAAACTGAGGCATGCACAGAAGCTCCCTGGAGGGACAAGAGGGTGCGCTGGGCAGGCCTTACAGGGGTAGAGGGACAGGGGGAGGGAGCCTGACTCATCCTCTCTGAGTCTAACTTTGACTACCTGGTCCCTGTGTGTCTACTCTCCCCACCCGTCACTAGCCAGCCTCTTAGACCTGAGAGGGACCCAGGTGGGAGCGATTTCAATCCCCAGGTGGTTCTCACAGCCACTGAGAATCACGCCACCTTATAGTGCCCTCTTCTCTTAACCTGGACTCCCAGAACCTCCTGACACATCCCAGGGCTCTTTTGCTCTTTACCTGATGGATTCTCCTGATGTGAATGCCCAGCTTCGTCTGCCCTGAGCTTTACTGGGTCACCCTTTCCAGTTTGGTTCCCACGAAAGGGAATTGGATGTATTGACTCCTTGCTACGATGAGTGTTGGGTGGGGCTGTGTGGCCCCAGGTCCGCTCCCGGATTGCAGGCCAGCTGACCCCATGACCACTAGCTGGGTGGTCTAGTCAGGGGTGAGAGGGGCCTACAGGAACCCCTGGAACAAACCGGCCTGGGGGAGGGCTGTGGACAGGCCAGCTCCCTTTAGTGACTTGCCTCGTCAGCAAGCACCTACCTCAAGATTCTGAATTTTCTTTTGTTGTTGTTGTTCATCCTCACCCAAGGATATTTTCCATTGATTTTTAGAGAGTGGAAGAGAAGGGGAGAGACAGAGAGAAACATCAATGTGAGATAGATCAATTGGTTGCCTCCTGCACGTGCCCCGACCAGGGCCAGGTATCAAGCCTGCAACTGAGGCACATGCCCTTGGATTCAAACCCAGGACCCTCCAGTCCACAGGCTGACACTCTACTGAGCCAAACCGGCTAGGGCAGGACTCTGAATTTTCCATTGGAAAACCGTACACTGTTTTTAAAGACACTTAGCTCAGAAAACATATCATCTTTCATAATTCAGCAGTTTCCACAGAGCACTTAATCAGAAAGCCAGGAGTTGGCTGTATCAGATGCCATGTTATACTCTGGCTACTAAAAGGAGCAACTTCGTCTTTTTTAATCAACTAAAAAATAAACCCGGTGATTCCTCTTCCAATTTTCCTTTTAACTTGAGGGAAGAACAACTTGGGAGGGCTACTTTAAAAATTTCTTGTTGCCAGATTTGGACGCAGACATGCAGAACTGGTAGAATTGACACACTTCACTGGGCCTGAGCATCCCTTGGGGTGGGTGGGGTGGGGTGAAGCAGAGGAGAGGCGAGTTTCTCTGACATCCCCAGACTCCTAGGAGGCTAGCAAGGCCACAATACCTTTTCCTCTAGTCAAGAATGCCTGTTGCTTTGTTCCGGCCTCTTCTGTGGAGAACAGAAGCCCTACTTATTCTAGCAACTGTTCCTTCCTTTTCTCCAGAGTCTAGAGACATGATTCTCAGACTCCAGCTGATTGATTGGTCCAGGGTGGCTCCTGATTCAAGAGGGGCAGATCAGAGGCCTTCCCTGGTGTCTTTGAACTGAACTTGGAAGGAAAGTATGCCCTTCTCCTGGCCTGGATATATTTTTATTGAGAGAAAGGAAAAGATAGAAACATCAATGATGAGAATCACTGATCAACTGCCTCCTGCACGCCCCACACTGGGGATTGATCCTGCAACCTGGGCATGTGACCTGACTGGGATCGAACCGTGACCTCCTGGTTCATAGGTTGATGCTCAACCACTGATCCATGCTGACTGGGCAACAATTAAGATATAAAAATTAATGTATGGTACCAGGTGGGTGCTGGAAATATTAGGGGGAACACTTTGTAAAGCATATGATTGTCTAAGCACTATGCTGTACACCTGGAACTAATACAAAATAATATTGAATGTAAACTGTAATTGAAAAATAACATTTAAATATATATATAAAAATTAAGAGCTACTAGCAATATAATCACTGCTATATGGTGGACACCCATGCAGAGTGAGAGATAATAATGCTGACCTGCCCTGGCCCGTTGGCTCAGTTGGTTGGAGCATCGTCCATGCACCAAAAGGTTGCAGGTTCGATTCCCAGTCAGGGCACCTACCTAGGTTTCGGTTTGGGTTCCCCAGTCGGGGCGCATGTGGGAGGCAACCGACCATTGTTTCTCTCACATCCATGTTTCTCTCTCTCTAAAAATCAATTTAAAACATCCTTGGGTGAGAATTTAAAATTTAAAAGTAATAATAATACTGATCTGCAGAGAAGCAGACAGCAGATGCAAAGGCCTGGTGGCACTGGTGTTCCTGCCATTTAGCTGTGCCCTTATCCTTTCTGCAGTTTGGCTCATCAACCCTTACTTCAACATGTGAAATGCCTCGGTCCTCCCAGTAACACACAGGTGTGTCAGTTACCTGTCATGGCCAGAATCACTGCACCACTGCCCCCGCTTCCTGGTGTCACCGGCTCCCAATTCAAAGTCCTGGGCAGATCTGTCTGAGTGGCTGAGTCTACATCTGCCTGTGCCTTACTTTCAAGAGAGCGAGGAAAGCAAGCCTTTCAGCTCCTGTCGGGAGGGGGGCTCCACCTCCCCAGAGATGCAGAGGTGGGGATCTCCAAACACAGGACAAAGATCCTGATCCAGGCAGCACCAAATCCTGAGTCTATCCAGGGAGTAAGAAAACGAGAGTCCAAAATCATTCTCGGAAGAAGTTAGGAGGGGAGGGAAAGAGAGTGGTAAACTATGGGAAGAGCAAAACCAAAGGATCTTTTCTTTTCTTAATATATTTTTAATGATTTCAGCGAAGGGAAAGGGAGAGAGAGAAACATCAATGATGAGAGAGAATCATTGATTGGCTGCCTCCTGCACGCCCCCTACTGGGGATTGAGCCCGCAACCCAAGCATGTGCCCTTGACCGGAATCGAACCTGGGGCCCTTCAGTCCGCAGGGTGACGCTCTATCCACTGAGCCAAACCAGGTAGGGCTTTTCTTTTCTGTTCGATAAGATTAGGCCTGAGCCATTTCATAGATGACAAACAAGGAGGTCTCATGACAAGACAAAAGTAGCTAGCACTCCATCCTGCCTCTCCAGCAGCAGGACGGAGCTGTCCAAGGACAAGGCCACGCTGGACAAAAGGACATTGCTCCTGAAATAAAGGAACTAGAAGCGTTATTAATGACTCCTCAAAAGACTCAGTTATCTGTTGCCTTTAATTAACATCTAAATAGATAACATTATTCTTCTATAATTATAACATGGAAATGTCTATGAACAAAATAGATAAATTTTTTGGCAAATGCCTAGGAAAGAATAGTCAAGTTCATCCAAGGTTTTAAGCAGCAGCATCTATGCAGCCGGGGTGTGGTCAGTGTTTGGGGACAGAGGTAAATATCCGCAATCCGTGCATTCCTTTGATTTCTTCCTTTAGGGCCTAAGGAAGGAAAAGAGCATCATCATTTCCTTTGTATATGGCATTGGCTACAATGAGTCCCTCAGACAGTATCTTCATACAGCTCTCTATCTGTAAGACACTGTGCACCTTCTTGCAGCACTTTTTCCATTTTTTTGGAAAACAATTTATTTTTTTAAATCAGAATCTAACCTGGCTCAAAAATCAGAGGCCTAAAAAGGCATACAGTGACATCTCCCTCCCACACCTGCCCTCTATCCCCCAGTTTCCACCTCCGTCCCCCAATAGCAGTGGTTCTCAACCTCTGGCCCTTTAAATACAGTTCCTCATGTTGTGACCCATCCATAACATTATTTTCGTTGCTACTTCATAACTGTAATGTTGCTACTGTTATGAATCGTAATGTAAATATCTGATATGCAGGATGGTCTTAGGGCGACCCCTGTGAAAGGGTCGGTCGACCGCCAAAGGGGTCGCGACCCACAGGTTGAGAACCGCTGCCCAATAGAGAACTGCTGTTAGTTTCTATGCGAAGACTCAACATTGCATAGTCAAGCTAATATAAATATATATTCCCCCACACACACACTACCTTTTTAAAACAAAATGGTAGCACTTTAAACACACTGTTCTACACTCTGCTTTCCCCCTCACCTCTGGAGAGCGTTCTGTATCGGCATAAAGAGCACATTCCTTGTTTGCATCAGCCTGGCATATGGATCTATCATAACTGCTCAGCCCAGCCCATCATGATGAACTATTAGGCTGTTTTTTGTGTTTTGCTATTTCAAACATCAAACAGCTGTTCTTTAAAACCACACTATTTAGCACAAATAGCCCACTTTTACTTGAAAAATAAAGTTGTAAAATATGAGACTCAGCACCAGGGCACAAACCTGAATGAGCCACCACAGCCAAACTGCATTCATTTCTCTGGCTTGCCAAGAGGAAAGCTACTGGGCCCAGGGAGGCGTGGACCACGGGAGCGTATAATCAATGCAGAGGAAGAGTCCACGTCCTTTACATTAGGCCCAAATCTGACCATCACAGTGGGGTGGACATTCCGCCCCCCCCCCCCCCCAGTCTGTCCAGCCATCTCCCTTCTCCTGGGGAACAGCTGCTTTCCACGTTGTGTGCTGCTTGCTGGTGGGACTGCCAACTGGCCTGGCACTGAGGGAGCTATGCCCCTGACCCAGCCTGAGTGGTTCAGGTGTGACACCGGCTTTCAGCTGGGGACACAGATGGAAAAGCCACGGGAAAATGATGAGAGAGGCAAGAGAAGTAACACAAGTCCACGAGAAATGGACTCAGTGCAGTGATGGGTGCGCCAGACCCCAAGCCGGCTCAGGGCTGTGGTGGGTGTTCCCAGGAGGGAGTGTCTGCTACTGAACTGGCCACTCGTGCAGGAGGCAGCCCAGGAGCGGGGCAGCTGGGGATGGAATGGGCAGAGAGGGACAGGGCATCGGGCCCAGGAGCACAAGGTGGGGAAAGGCTGGGAACGCACCGTGGCTCCCCAGGAAAAGCCTGGCTTCCAGGCAGGTATCTGAGGGGTGAACTAAGGCAGGCCACACAGGGACTGGTGATCCCAGGCCAGGAGGGTGGGACTGGACTCTGTGGGCAACCAGGATGCACAGGGAAGGGCTCTGAGCTGGGGAGACACAGGCAGAGGCACCCTCGTGAGGACCCAGGTGACGAGCACCAGACAGGAAAGGGGCCAGGGAAGAGGAGAGGGCAACTGCTGTTTACCAAATGCCTCCCACATGCCGGCCCGAGGCTGGGCACGTGTGGGCAATACCTCACGCGATCTTTGCCGAAGAGGAAACGAAGGCTCAGATCCCACTGCAAAGTGGAGAGCCAGGTCAGTGCTCACTCTCCTCCCTGCGGCTGCTCCCCAGGCGGGAACAGGATGCAAGGGGAAGAAACACTTGTTCTCCTGGCACCCCTGGAGGAATGGTGAGTTCACTCCTGAGGGTGGAGGAGTGTGAGCTGCAGTGGCAGGGGCTCCCCATCCACAGGGAACCAAGCAGGGACCATTGGAAGAGCCAAGTGGTTGCTGTTCCATCCCCGACAGCCCGGCAGACCACTGGCACCTTCGGGCCGTAGGTGTCCGCGTGCGAGTGAAGGGTTGGGCTCCACGATGATCCACAGACAGATTTAGAAGGGAACCAGCCCACACAGGGCTGACAGGCCAAGGGGCATTAGTATCCCTGGATACAAGGCAGACAATGCTTGAGTCAAAGGGTGGAGGGCATTCATCCCTGCCAGGCAGGTCGGGAGGCAGCACTTGAGCTGGGCAGAGGAGGGAGGAAGGGAACCCTGCAGGGGGTCCGATCTGGGCGAAGCTCATGCACAGAGACCACGGGGCAGGGCCAAGGGAGGGTGTGTGCCGAGACAGGTGGGGGGGCCTGGAACAGCAACCTGGGACGCCTGAACGTGACGTAGAAGGGGTCACAGCGGGGCCCTCATGACCAAAGCAGTGCTTTACAAACGCTAACCTAGTTCACAACGTTGAAGACCTTCCAGAATGATGCCAAATATCCCTGCTGAAGGCGGCCAGTTTACAGACACGCCCCAGGGTCAAGGCTTGTATTAATTCCACGTAAAATAAGCGTAGATAATAAGTAAACCGGCCTTGTCTGGTTAAAGCTGATGTTTCAGGCCCCTATGGTGTCTGTCACTGGGTCTGGGGCAGCTGGAGCAATTCTCAATCATGCTGTGCCCCAATCTGTAACGCAGTCCTGGAGAGAGGCTCAAAAAATCTTCAAATCTACAAAACGTATCTCTCGGCACGCCTACATTTACCAGTACTATCCAATATGTGACCACAACAGTAAGCACTGGCTCATACAAAAACACGACAAAACTATTAGGTGGCTTGTTTTCCGTTTTGAATAGAAGCCGTAATTGTCCACAATGGATTCCAGATAGTTCCCGCTTACATTTTCTCAGTCCTGGGTCCTGTTGGCATGACTGTGGCACTGCATTATTCTTTCCTACGACTGCCAGTCAAATACCATGCCGCCCGGCAGGCCCTCCCGGATGTAGGGACAGGGGTGGAGGGGCAAAGGGGCGCTGTTCCTCTCTGACCTGATTTACCATCTGGTGCTGCTGGACAGTCCTCTTCTCCTTAAATTCTTCTGACTCGATTTGGATTTCATACATCGCCCCACAGCCTCCTGAAATAAATGCGGTTTGAAAGCGTTTCCATTATTAAGTTGGGGCCGCCACAGCCCGGCAGGTCCTTGGAGTCACGCACAGTCTCAGGGTCCGAATACTACTGTTCAGCGGAAGTTGCTAAGACTGTTAGAAGCAGGCTACGGCTTAGGGTCTGAGCACACACACCTCCTGGCAGGCTGCCCCCATCCAAAACGTGTTCCTCCTTTGGCAAGGCGGGTGCCCCACCCAGGGTTATCACTTGTGGGGGAGGAAAGATAAGGCGCGAATGCAGGTTTTCCTGGTATTTCCTTTTATTAAGCCAACAAATGCCGTCGAAGAGTGTGGGAGGGACTGAATTTCAGTGTTCCTCCTTCAAACTATACCAGCAATCGCTTTTTTAGTGCAAAAATACACTAAAATTTGGTTTGAAAACTAGAATACTACCCAAAAGAAAGGAACAAGGATGTGCAAGAGAGACAGGGACATAGGAGCTGCAGCCCTGGCCAGGGTTGTTAAATGGTTAGAGAGTTGGCCCAGCAACAGAAGGGTCACGGGTTCGATTCCCAATCAAGGGCACGTGCCTGGGAGGCAACCAATCTCTCACTTGGAAGCTTCTCCCTTTCTCTCTCCGTCCCTCCCTTACACTCTCTTTAAAAAATCAATGGAAAAAATATCCTCGGGTGAGGATTAACAACCACAACAACAATGCTGGCCGCTGGCCGCTGGCCGCCAGGCCTGGCCAGCCAGGCGGGTCTCTCTCCAGCGCCTCCTGCTCTGTAAACAGCACCGAGTGTTTCATCAGGGCTTCGGCAGGGAGGGAGAGCTTTCTGGTGAAGTGCTCGAGGCAGAGCTTGTGGTGGACTCATCCACACCCTGACCAAGCTCTGTCTCCACGTGGCTGGGGAGCTAGTGCTGTGACTGATGAGAAAGAGAATTTCCCCCTCCCCGTGCTGTTACACCAGGCCACTGTGTGCAAAGCGCTCTGTTTCCCTTCTCTTACAAGCCCTGAGTCCAAGCTTTGCTTAAACCAAGGCTGCCGGCCTCAATGCCCTTTCTGTACTCGGCCCCAGGCTGGGCAGAGTCAGACAGGAGGTCAAGTTCCGGCTCTGCCTACGTGGGCCTGGGCAGGTACAGGGCTCGTGATATCAAGGCCTCAGCATTGCCGAGACCCCGGCAGAGTGTGCACCCCACCTCCCACTCCAAAGGATCTTCAGATTGATTCATCTCTATTCCCAGAACAACACTTTTTTCTAAACCTTCTCCCAATGTTACGTTCTCAGAAAAGCCTGTGGGCCGTTGTGGCTGTGCAGAGCGGCCAAGACCGAGTCGGGGTGTGGGAGTCAGGTGCCCGCCCACTGCCAAGCTCCCCCCACCCCCCGCATGGGTGTGTCTGGCAAAAGGCCCTATCTCCCCCGTCCTGTGGGTGCAGGAGGTGACTGCCCAGTCAGCCGGCCTGAGGAATGCACGGTCTGGCTGGGGCAGGAAACCGGCTCAGGCCAGAGTCTGCCCTGGGTCCTGGTTGGCCGCCTCCTCCCTGTGAGGGGCTGGGCAGGTTCCCGGGCCTCCCTGGGCTCATCTCTTCGTGAGGAAAGGGAGGCAGGTACTTTCCTCAAAGGGACAAACTCCCGCTGGTCCGCTCCAGCCCTGACGTTCGAGGGCATCAGGAGAATGTGGGGGGATTTCTGTAAAGCCCACCTGGCAGTCAAATTAAAGGCCGGGCCAGAGCCCAGGGGTGACTGAGAGGGAACTCATCCCCACAGTCTCCCTCCATGGTTCTGTAGCCCCTCCTCCACATCTGCCCCAGAGCCACCCGCATTAAGGAGCAATCAAGTGCCTTTTGCTAAGCCCACCTCCCCCTCCCCGCCCCCTGCCCCTCCAGAGAACAAAATCCCATCAAACTCTGCGGGAAGATGAGGAAACCTTACCTGAAATGTCAGTGACTTTGATAGTTGTAGCTCGAGGAAAGCTTTCTTTGAGGATTTGGGTTACTTTGAGCTCCCCGTCAGTCTGCGAGGCAAACATCCGCTGGGTGCAGCGAAGAGGAAGCTGCCACAGGACAGAGAAGGCAGAGGAGAGGCATGGCTGAGCAGGATGACGCTGCCCCCAGGGGGCCACTGTGCAGGACCCACCTGCCATCTCCCCACCACCCCCACCCCCCGCCCCGGCAGGGCCAGCGTGGCCCTGGGCTAAGTCATCTAAGCTCGCCGGGATGCAGAATCAGCTTTCTTGGGGTGGGGATGATTGTAAATAACTCATTTGGACTCTAGAGACAAGGCCCCAAACCTAATTCAACAGATGTCTGACTTGCCATGATGATGCCGGGAGGAAGACTATCATGATGCCAGTTGTACAGGTGAGGAAACTGGCATTAAGTAATATGCCCAAGCCTGGATCCATTAGTAAAATGCAGAGCTGGGAGAGGCCAGGCAGCTGTGCCCCGCTGGCCCAAGGTGCCACTGACCAGGCACTGGTGGGGCCAAAATGCCACCTACCCTTTAGGCCTGATTAATATTCCAGCCTCTCCAGTGGGATATGACCTTGTGACCTACTGTTCAATAAGCCAGTGACCTTTTGCAACATGAATTCTCACTGGGGGGAAGCAGACTTCTATTAAACCACCTGAAGGAGAAACATTTTTAGATTATTTGCCATTGGCAACCACTCTCCCCCGTCCCCTAATGGCTACCACAGGGACCCAGTGCTTCCGAGGGGAGCGTATCTCAGTCCTTAGGGGTGAAGGCGCAGAAAACCAGGCCAGCAGCCCCTTGGCTGAGTTGATGCTGAGAAGGGAGGCGTAATATAGGGTATGACAGGCCTTGAAGGTCAGGCTAAAGATGTTGGACTCAGTCAGGCATCTTGGTGCCAAAGTCACCTGCACAAAGCGGTGTCTTCTGAAGCTCGTCAGGAAAGATGCCCAGGTAAGAGGCAAAGGCAGCAGGGCCAGCTCAGGTCCCTGACTGGAGGAGGACGGCAGGTGGGGAACACCTGCACTGTTTATCCCGTGCTGGTGCTAAAGGGACCTCCCCCCACCCTCAGTCCTGGCCACCCTCAGGCCTTTCCTGATGGCCCAGAGCAGGGTCCTGTGTGATAGAATCTCGGGGCACCTTCTTTAAAATGACCACCTGGTCTCAAAGGCCATGACCGAGTCTGTCCTGTTACTGCAGCCCTCCAGGGCTGAGCCAGGGCAGGCCCTCGGAGGACCTGGGGATGGATGATGGATGGATGGACGGACGGATGGATGGATGGATGGATGAGCAGGGAAAGGACCACACAATTCAAGACATGCCTACTGGACACCCACAAAGAAGTCCGACAAGCAGCTGAAATGCAGGTCAGCAGAAAGAGCTGGACTTACACTGAGTGCTGTGTGAAGGGAGAAAATGTTGTGGATCTGGGTAAGACTGGGTGGTGGGGTGGAGTGGGGTTGGAGGGACAAAGGCAGAGAATAATGGGGTGGCGGGCAGAGGGCAACCACTGAGGAGTGCAGTGGTTGTCAGCGCTGCAGATTTCTCAGGAGAAGGCTTTCCTGCGTAGCAGATGTGTGGGCAGCAGCCTTTAAACAGGCACCCTACTGGCAAAATCCCCAGCGGCCGCCGGGCCACGCTGACAGTCACCCGTAGACCTGCCTGGGGAGCGGGTCCAAGGCCAGCCGGGGAGCAGGAAGCACAAGGGAGGACAGGGAAAGAGGTGGGTGAAGCGAGGAAGGGATGAATCAAGGGGGAGAGGAAATGAGGAGCGCGCGTGGTGAGTGCCCTCTGCTGGGCTCGACGCCGGGACTGTGGGATTTGTGCGGGTCAAGGTCAACGAGGCCGGCGGACGTTCCCACAGTCCAGACCCCGCCACATGCCCGGCACGCGCGCCGTGACTCCGGCTAGGACTCCGATGCCCGCGGCTCGATAGAGCAGCACTGCTTTTCCCGTGCCGCTGCACTGGGGTGTCTGGGTGTCTGGGTGTCTGGGTGTCTGGACCCTCGCCCGGCCTCCACCCGGCTCTGGGGGCCCCCTAGCGCACCGGGTCCTGACACTTCCCCGAATGCCGGTTGCCGGGACCACTGAACGAATGAATCAACGAGTGAAAGAATGAATGAACGAGAGAAAGGACGGGGAGCCCCTGCCCCGACCCCGCGGCCCCTCCGCAGCTCCCGCCCCGGGGCGAGCACTTGGCCCTGCCCGTGCTCACCGCGCGGATCCGGCGGAGCAGAGGCGCTGCCGCGGCCGGGCTCCACGCCGCCATGCCCGGCCGACGCGACCCGCCGCCCGAGGTCGCCGCGTCTCCCGAAAGGCAAGGAGCCCAGAAGCGAATGCCACCGGGGCGGGCGAGGCTGCCCCCTGCCGCCCGGAGGCCGCGGGCCGCCCGCGCCGCTCCGCCCCTCGCCCCGCCTGGTCTGAGCCTGCGGGACGCGCCACCTGGGACCTGCCGCGCCCCGCCCAGGGTCCCGCCTACTCGGCGCTCCGACAGCCAATCCCGGCCCGTTCCACCAGCGGGGCCCGCCCCCTCAGCCTGCAAACTCTACCCAGGTGTGTCCCTCATCCCAGTGCCCCTCGTGCCCTGGGCCGATTCCCTCTCCCCCGCTCCCGCAACCTGGCTTCCCTGCTGAGGGGCTTGGGTTTCTTCCTCCAGAAAAGAGGGGCCGGAGGAGGACTTGAAAACAGGGGTGTCGTTTTCAGATTTGCGTGTTAGGAAGGTCCCGGTGGCTCCTGCGAGGAGGAGGGACTGTAGCGGCGGAACTGGAGCTGAGGACGAAGTTCCGAGGCTGTCGGTACATGGCAGGTGAGAGCTGAGGCCTGAACTAGAGCCGCGGCAGCGGGGAGGACAGGAGTGGATTGAGATTTTGGGGGAGGTGAATGCAATGCAGTGACTAGATTGGGGGTGAGGGTGAGGGTGAGGAAGTCGTCTGGGGTGACTCCCAAGTTTCTGGCTTGGACAACGAAATGGGTGGAGTGCGTGAAGGGGGAGCGCCAAAGTCAGCTTTGGACTTGCCTGAGTTTAAGGTGCCTGCGGGACACGGCCCACCTGAAGCTTAGGCTCCACAGACCGTGGAGTCGCAAGAATGTAGTGGAAGCTGACGCCTTGAGGTAAGATTGTCAGCAAAAACTGCCCGCCTATATCCTATACCCTTTACCAGCTCTTTTTGCTATTTCATTCCGGCCTATCCAATCAATAACCTGCAGCTTTCAAATGGATGGGTTGGTCAGACCTACCGCTGTTCTTTAAAGTGCTCAGCTAAAAATATGCTCATTCATTACAGTATGGAGTGACTCCTACATCTTGTCTCTCATTCATTTCTCCTTTGAATTACTGCAATAGCCTCTCACACTTTTTTTCTTAGAAATTATGGTTGGAAGGATTAAAGACACTGCTAACTTTTAATTTTTCTTCATTGTTGTCAATGACATAATTAAAACTGACAACAATGTTTAATCCATTGGTGTAGTGGTGAACTCTTTGCTACTCAAACCACAGGTGCAGGTGAGGCAGAGCCACCCCACTTTAGGAGTGATAATTAGACCCAGGTCTAGCCAATTAGACTTAGGAATTGGTTTAGGGTTGGTCACATGTTCTGAGCCAGACCAATGATAGATGGTCTAGCCTAGGGCTAGTAGAGAACCACTGGTCTAGGGATTTTTCTGGAAGTAGAGAAAAGATCATTTTCAACTGGTTGCTAAACTGGTAGAAAGCCTACTCCGGGCGGTTATCTTTGCAACCATGTGGGCAGAGCCACTTTGGAAATGAAGCACACAGAAGAAAGCCGAGCTGAGAGGAGACAAGTTTGACATTGCTTGTGCAACTGGAACCCGACAGTGCCAGAAATGAGCACTAAAGACATTTTAGTTGGTGTTAACTTAAAAGTTAAAAAGACCTTTCAAAGTGAGAGGAAAACAAGTGTTTATTTGAGATCAATAAGAATAGGTATCTGGGCCCTAGCAGGTTTGGCTCTGTGGATAGAGCATCGGCCTGCGGACTCAAGGGTCCCAGGTTCGATTCCAGTCAAGGGCATGTACCTTGGTTGCGGGCACATCCCCAGTGGGGGGTGGGGGGGTGCAGGAGGCAGCTGATCAATGTTTCTCTCTCATCGATGTTTCTAACTCTCTATCCCTTCCCCTTCCTCTCTGTAAAAATTCAATAAAATATTTATTTTTTTTTAAAAAAAGGATAGGTATCCGGGAATCATTCATTCAGGCAGAAGTCCAAATATTGTTCAATTAGGAGACAAAGGCAATGGGTATTTATGACAAAGGAAAAGGGAACAATTACATCATAAGGAAAGCATTTCTATTGGTGCAGATAACCTAGGGATGTTAATTTAATTTTATTATTTTTTTTATTCTTAGTAGTATTATAGATATCTCCCATTCCACACCCTTTCCCCCCTCCACTTAGTCCTACTCTCCCCCAACCTTCCACCCCCGTCTTCACTACCCTATTGCCATGTCCATAGGCTATGCCTATAAGTATATAAGTTCTTTGGTTTACCTCTTCTCGTCCCTCAACCCCACGTTGAGGTATGTCAGTCTGTTCCATGCCTCCACGCTTCAGGTCTTACTTTGTTGGGCAATTCATTTTGTTCATTAGATTCCACAAGTAAGAAAGACTATGTGATATTTGTCTTCCTCAGTCTGGCTTATTTCACTTAGCATAATTTTTCCAGGTCCATCCATGATGTCCCAAAGGGTAAGAGATCCCTCTTTTTTACAACTGCATAGTATTCCATTGTGTAAATGTCCCACAGCTTTTTTATCCATTCATCTACTGATGAGCACTTGAGCTGTTACAAATCTTAGCTATTGTAAATAACGCTGCTATGAACATAGGGGTGCATATATTCTTTCTGATTGGAATTTTGGGGTTTCTTAGGATATATTCCCAGAAGTGAAATTGCTGGGTCAAACAGAAGTTCCATTTTTTGAGAAAACTCCATACTGTTTTCCATAGTAGCTGCTCCAGTCTGCATTCCCACCAGCAGTGGACTAGGTTTCCCTTTTCTCCACATCCTCATCAGCACTTGTTGTTTGTTGATTTTGTTGATGATAGCCATTCTGACAGGTGTGAGGTGATATCTCATTGTGGTTTTAATTTGCATTTCTCTGCTGATTAGTGACTGAGCATTTTTTCATGTGTCTCTTGGCCATTTGTATGTCCTCTTTGGAGAAAAGTCTATTCAGGTCTTGATTTTTTTTTTTAAATATATTTTATTGACTTTTTACAGAGAGGAAAGGAGAGAGATAGACAGTTAGAAACATCGATGAGAGAGAAACATCGATCAGCTGCCTCCTGCACATCTCCTACTGGGGATGTGCCCGCAACCCAGGTACATGCCCTTGACCGGAATCGAACCTGGGACCTTTCAGTCCGCAGCCCGACGCTCTATCCACTGAGCCAAACCGGTTTCGGCATTGATTTTTTTTTTTAATTGGATTGTTTGTCTTCCTTTTGTTGAGTTGTATGGGTATTTTATATATTTTGGATATTAACCCCTTGTCAGATGTTTCATTGACAAGTATGTTCTCCCATATGGTAGGTTCCCTTTTCATTTTGATGGTGGTTTCTTTTGCTGTGCAGAAGCTTTTTATTTGAATGTAGTCCCTTTTGTTTATTTTCTCCTTAGTTTCCTTTGCCCTAGGTCACAGTGGTCGGCAAACTCATTAGTCAACAGAGCCAAATATCAACAGTACAACAATTGAAATTTCTTTTGAGAGCCAAATTTTTTAAACTTACACTATATAGGTAGGTACATTGTTATTAACTTAATTAGGGTACTCCTAAGGCTTAGGAAGAGCCACACTCAAGGGGCCAAAGAGCCGCAGTTCTTATACCAGTACCAGGCTGTTTTGGTTACAATGGCTTTGTAGACCAGTTTGATATCCAGTATTGTGATTCCTCTTACTTTGTTCTTCTTTCTCAAGATTGCTCCAGCTAGTTGGGGTCTTTTATGGTTCCATATAAATTTTTAGATTATTTGTTCTAGCTCTGTGAAATATGCCATTGGTATTTTAATAGGGATTGTGTTGAAGCTGTAGATTGCTCTGGGTAGTATAGACATTTTAATTATGTTAATTCTTCCAATTTATGAACATGGTATACACTCCATTTGTTTGTATCTTCTATTTTTTTAAAACTTTTTATTGTTGAGTACTACAGATGCCTCTTTTTTTCCCCCCCATAGCTCCCCTTCACCTGGTTCCCACCCAGCCCCAGGCCTTCACCACCCTATTGTCTGTGTCCCTAGATAATGCATATATGCATGTAAGATCTTTGGTTAATCTCTTCCCGTCCCCTTCCCCCATTCCCTCTGAGATTTGTCAGTCCCATGTTCGATTTTATTTACTAGTTGTTTTTGTTCAGTAGATATTTTGTTCATTTATTTTTAGATTCAATTGTTGATAAATATGTATTTATTGCCATTTTATTCATATGTTTGGTATTTTTCTTATTCTTTTTCCTATTCTTAAAGAATACCCTTCAACATTTCATGTAATACTGGATTGGTGGTGATGAACTCCTTTAGCTTTTTCTTATCTGTGAAGCTCTTTATCCGACTTTCAATTCTCAGTGAGAGCTTTGCTGGATAATGTTGGTTGTAAGTCCTTGCTATACATTACTTTGAATATTTCTTGCCACTCCCTTCTGGCCTGCAAAGTTTCTGTTGAGAAATCATATGAGCACTCCCTTGTAGGTAACTAACTGCTTTTCTCTTGCTGCTTTTAAGATTCTCTCTGTCTTTAATCCTTGGCATTTTAATTATGATGTGCCTTGGTGTGGGCCTCTTTGGGTTCCTCTTGTTTGGAACTCTCTGCACTTCCTGGACTTGTAAGTCTATTTCTTTTACCAGGTAGAAGTTTTCTGTCATTATTTCTTCAAATAGGTTTTCAATATCTTTCTCTTCTCCTTCTGGCACCCCCATAATGGAAATATTGGTACACTTCAAGTTGTCCCTGAGGCTCCTTACATTCTCTTCATATTTTTGGGGTTCTTTTCTCTTTATGCTCTTCTGATTGGGTTTTTTGTTGTTGTTGTTTTTGTTGTGCTTCCTCATATTTCAAGTTGTTAATTTGATTCTTAGACTCCTCTACTCCACTGTTGAATCCCTGTAAGCTATTCTTTATTTCAGTTACTGTATGCTTAATTTCTGACTGGTCCTTTTTCATGTTTTTGACATTCTCACTAAGATCCTTGAAAGTTTTGCTAAGTCCCTTGAAGCTCTCATGAAGATCCTTGAGTAACCTTTTAACTATGGTTTTGAACTCTGTATCCAGTAGTTTGCTTGCTTCCATTTCTTTCATTTGTGACATGCTTCGTTGTCTCTGCACTTTGGCTGCTTCCCAGTTTGTTTCTATGTATTAGATAGAGCTATGTCTCTTGGAGTTTGGTAGAGTGGCCTTGTGTAGTAGGTGTCCTGTAGGGCCCCGTGGCTCAGCCTCCCCAGTCACCTGAGTTGGGTACTCTAGGTGCACCACTGTGTGGGCTTGTGCACTCTTGTAGTTGAGCCTTGATTGCTGTTGGTGCCACTGGGAGGAATTGACCTCCAGGCCAACTGGCTATGAAGACCAGCTGTGACTACAGTGGGAGAACTGCTGTGCAGGAAATACCCCTATGGAGGACTTGCTTCAGTGGGGCTTTGGTGCTCACTGAGTCTGCCCCTTGAGTGTGTCACTTGTGAATGTGTAGAGTTGTAACCTGCTATGGTCTGAAGCTGTCCACTAGGTGCACTGGCTCTAGGGTCTCCAGGGAGGTGCAAAATTAGCCATTGCCTGGGACCACCTGACAGGAGCTAAAGAAAAATCTGCAGATGCCTTCTATTTGTATTGGGTTTGGAAGTGCCCAGGTGAGGCCCAGCTGTGAAGCAAGGCAGGCTGGTGCTAATGCCAGGTCTTGGGCCTTTTGATAGGTTTGGGACATGCTGTCACCAGCTGTCACCAGCTGCAGCTTGTTTGAGAGATTTTAGCAAAGTCTGAAACCTGAGCCAGGACAGGCCATTCATATGGAAAAGCTGCTACAAACAGCTTGGGTGGGACTGTAAATAGTATGGGGCAGGGTCTCAAGGAATCACCAGGGCCAAGAAAACAGTTTGAGCCAGGTTGATGGGGACTCAGATATGGCTACCAGCCAGACAGAGGATGTCCCAGCACAGGAACAATGACTCCTGCAAGCACCCCTGTTTGAAAGAAAGCCACCCTGAGTTCCTGCCCTGATGCCAGACAATCCAGTTCCTCCCTGTATGTGTCTGGGTCCCCCAACACCTCCTGGTGCTGGAGCTCATAGGGGTTGAGTCCAGGTAAGTTTGTGCACCTGCCCTTTATGAGGGACACCTGGGTCTCTGGCGGCCCCTGTTCTGCAGCCACAATCCCCACAGGTTTTTATAGCTCATGGTTGCAGGGACTTCTCTTCCCAGCTCTGAGACCCTGGGTTAGGGGTCTGGTGTGGAGCTGGCACCCCTTGACCACATGAGGGGCCTCTGCAGAGATGATCTCCCTCCCAATTAATTAAAAAATGCAGCACACAAGGGTGCCAGACCAGTCTGTCCTGCACCTCCTCCCCTCCTACCAGTCTCAATATGCTTTCTTCTTTACTTCTCTAGTTGTAGGATTTCCATTCACCCAGCTTTCAGGAAGTTCTGAATGATGGTTATTCTGTATTTTAGTTGTAATTTTGATGTGATTGTGGGATGTGGCAGATACAGGTGTTTACCTATGCCTCCATCTTGGTTCTCCCCCCTAAAATTCCTTATTCTGGTCAGGACACACACATCTAGCTTTTGGGATCTCAGAGACTGACATCTGGTGGTCAGTGGTAAAGATGCAGGTTGAGGTGTCCATACCTAGCCAGAGAGCAATGGAGTATTTGATAGAGAAGGTCCAAGGCATGTTTTGGACATTGTTTCTGACTGTGCAACTTTGAAGAATGACTCTGGCCCTTCCAAAAATGATTTGGTTTATTCTACTACTCATTTATAAAGTTTGAAATAGCTTTCAAATTTAGCCATTAGATACTTAACATTTTTATAGTCAATTTTAAGCCTAATAAAACTGTCCAAAAATTCCAAAACTGACTGTAGCTTTCCCATATTATTTAGCCACAGTCATTAAGTTTTTATTTCACATTTATTAAAGTTTTTAATTTTAACCTTACTCAATGAAGGTCAAAATAATTCTAGCACTATTTTGACTAGACCTAAAATTATCATTTGGACCTCTAAAAATAATATTTCTCTTACAATAATGAAAAATGGCTGAGGTGGGGGTGTCTTTTAGATAATGCTGAGTACTCAATTTCAAGGTCAGAAAATTAAGAAGTCTAGTCTCTCCTCTTCCCTTTTCTCAATCTCATAGCCAGGAGTGTAGATCTGGGTTAGCAAGGTAGAAAGGAGACTTGTTTTTTTCTCTGGGATGTGCTTTAGCCACTGTACCCTTTCTTCTAAGAGTTAAGAAAACATTTTAGCTACTAAATGTTAAGCAAAGACAATCTTCTGTAGAGGCTGCAAAAATTCTCAAGTTTCACAAATAAGTGTGTTGAGACACATCTTAGTCATTTCTTTCTTTCAATATATTTTATTCTGATGAAGTTACAAAAGTAGATACAAATTACTTTTTTTAAAGTATAGTTAACTGACTTAGAAAAATAGAAAAGCCCCTAAAGATTTAAAAATACAACGTAAGTTTTCATGTAAAGAACATTTAAAAATATTTTAGATGGTAACCAAAACTAACTTATACAAGCTATTTTTTATGTAGACCAAACATAATAAATCAGCAGTCTATTTGGATTTACAGAATACTTGTTTGGAATAGAATCTGATAATGAGGGAAAACCCAAGTGAATTTCAATGCAGTTGCTTCAGTAAAGTTACAGTCACATGTAATATCCCCCAAAAGGCTTTTACAGTCTGAAATATCAAAATCTAATGTAAAAATACAGGAAGACTGAGGGACTACTATTTTCCCTCTTTGCCAGAATTCTACAATAAATAGTAAACCCACTTATTGGAACAAATATCAGGAGGAAATAATGTCCCTGTTGAAGATGCTCAGTTTGGTGTCCCAGGCCAGCATTTTTTAGGCTGGAGTTCTACAGACAGCAGACGGCCTCCTCTAACCACACAGGGGTAACACCAGTGCTGTGACTGGGGCTGCTTCTAAACAAATTTCTACGACTTACATTCTGTGGGCCTGATTTGTTTATGCTTGTGAGGTAATAATGTTTTTCAGAAGCTCTACTTCTAGTATAACCTCACTGCTCAGAGAAAAGGCCAACAGTATAATCAGGAAACCTCAACAATGTTTGCAAAAGTTAAAATCAGCACCAGGATTGCTCCTCTTGCCTCACATGACTAGGAAAACTTTCCTTTCTTTGTTATCAGAGTCATGATGACTACAGATTTGCATTTCTTGAACAGGCAGCTACACGAGCTAGGGGCTCTACAAGTCTTAAGGTGATAGGAAATACTTTTTTAGCTGGCAGCCCTCTAAAATCACTTTATTCAGTCAAGAGAAGAATAAAAGATACATTTGGCTGTAAATACAAAAACTAGTACAAGGAAATTTCAATATTTAAACAAAAATCTGCACATTTTATTTTAAAGGCCTGAAAATAAAAGCACCAACGGATTAACTGCATATTATAAAGCACTCCCCCTCCACCCCATGGATCATACATTGAGAGATGGCTTGTGATTAGGAGGGGTCAGGGTAGGGAGTGTTGTCCAACAGGCATATGCTGGGCACAGAGAGACAAGTCAAAAATGAGAGTCAAAGACAGATTTCTTCCAACTGTTAGCAAAGGTTGGCCCGTTAGCCAAGTCAAGAAGGGGCCATCCTCTACCCATTCCTCCAATTCTCCTGCCCTCAACTCCTTGGCCTTGGATATAAACAAAAACTGTTAACACTGATGTTTGGATGCATTGCTGATTAAGCCAGATTAGTATGGGAACCTGGTAATGTTTTTATTTTTTAAAAGGCCATTCTGAGTCTCAAATTACCAACAATTTTGTGTCACTAGTATGCTGCCTTTACTACTATTCTAACGTTACAGTCTTTGGTTCATTTTGGGCTGAGTCTTGAAGAGAGGGGGGGATTTCTATCATGAAAAATAGATGGAGAAAATTGAGAACCCTTTTGTTTGAGAATATTTGAAATATTAGAAATGATGATGCAAGTGCAACTTCCTTGTAGACTTAAAGCCAATAGTTGAGAGGCAGTAACATTCTCAGTGGTATCCAGAAACCTGCCTTCTTATTTGTAAAGAATCAACATAAACATATATACAGCTTGACAGGGACCTTTGAATAAACTTAAAATGTGGACCATGGAATGTCTCATAGAGGGCTTTTCTCTTTTTTTCATAGGTGATTATCCCACTCTTTAATTCCTAAAACCATGAGGTACAGTTTCAGCCTAATTAGATGAAATGTTTTGTTTCCTTTAAAATCCTGAATATATTTAATAATTTATTGAAATTGAGTTAAGAGTTTTTAAGTTATTCTCTTCCTTATACTCCAGTGGAATAATAAAAATAAATAACAATAACGAAAAAAAAAAAAACCCTATCAAAGTTAACCTTTGCCAAAGCCATCAAGAAGTTGGTACTTTGCAAAAGTCACAACTCTGAAACAGAATGCTGGTGAACTTAAAGTGGCTGCTGTCTGGCAAGTCTTTAATATATTTGTGCCTCAATACTTTTAAACCGCCTGAGTTCACTAAATCCTAGAAGCCTAATGAAAATCAGATCTTTTCTTCATTAAAAGGGGAGATCCTTTTTATCTGAATAGAAATAGGATAAATTCAGGTTTTGATACAATAGTTAACACAGGATAAAACCCCCAGAGGAGCTCAATCCATCCTTTAACTATTAACAGAATGAAGACCTTTTTTTTACTTATTCTTCCAATGCTGTCTCCTTTAAACGCGCACACAAACACACACAAGAATAGGAAACACATCAAACTTTTAACTGTGTTATAAAATGTGTACACCTTTCAAGATGTTTTTTGCAAGATTTTTTTTTATTTTCCTTAAGTTTTATCCTTATTGGGATAAAGTTGATGCATTTCTATAGTACTCTTCACTAAGTCTCAAGCCACACACACACAAAAAAACACCCCAAAACACATAGAAATCATTTTTTTAAAAAGGAAACTCAAAACAATCAAGTAATCTGAGCATTTTTCATTCTATCCAGAATTTCAAAGCCGTCTGAAAGACGACATGAATGAAAATAGTGGTTTGAGGCCTAAATTTGTCTTAATTTTTTGGAAGTTTGCTTTTTGTCAGCCAAAAGCTACATATTCAAATTAACCTGAATGAAGTATTTAAAAAAAATCTACAAGACCACCTTGGATGCCTTAAAACAATTATTTCTAATATGCACTCTCTCCTAAACATTGAGATAGGTTCGTATGTGAATAAAATCCCAAATTAAGATTAAAAAGTAAAGTCATTTGGTTACTCCCACATGTCATATGATGATTTAAATGGCAATCATGGATTTTGAAAAAATATGCATATTATCTATAAAAACACTAGTATATAACTTCAAACAACATATTTATCCAAAGTGACACAAATTGTTCTAAACCTTAAGGAAACTTAAAAACACCTCTTCTATAAGCAGAATAAAACCTAGCTGACTGAGATATTAACAAATTTGTTGTGGAAACTTGTTAATAAATTATTGGTAGAAATTCTTAATATCCATTATGCTATAACCTGAAACAGACTAAATCATTTTCTTTAGTAAAAGAATAATATGTAAACTGATAAACTACAGATTAACCATCACATACTAACAGCAAGTGTGACTCAGTGACAATAACAAGTGTGGTGACACAGTGCCTCAAATCTGGCTGTGTCCTGAATTTCTCACTCTGTAGGTATCAGGCCAACCTACCTTTGGGACAATAGGTCTTTTTATCCTGTTTCTTAAAAGTTTGTGTCACTAGTCTATAACAGACAGCAATGAGATAGCTCTAGCAGTAGATGAAGCAAGAGAATAATTGTGTACTAGAAGCAGCATTTATCTGTCTTTTGATCCAAGCTTCTCAATTAATTCCTGAAGAGGTGCCAGCTCACGCCTATCAATCAGATTAAACTCCTAAAAAGAGAAGAAAAATAAAATTTAAAAATGGATCTAAAATTAAAATTCTGTAAATGTCACTGAGAAAGTATTCCCAACCCTAGTTTTCTGAAATCGAAAGGAATAATGAAATGATCCCTGTGAACATTTTTAATAGAATAATTTTTACTCCTTTTTAAAATATAGAGGACTTACTAAATAAGCAACTATAAAGGAATGATGCTTACTGGGTAAAACATTAAAGTTGTATATGTTGGCATTTACATAGGAATTATCTGAAAACTTTACGCTGAATCTTTGCTAGTGGCCACCTCAGGGGCAGCAGACCTTTTCCTTTCATAGTTCTAGCTATACTCTATATCTATGCCATGCAATAACCTCAGAAGGAAGATAGAGAAGAGCACATTATCCTTTGTGTGATACATAATATTGTAATACACAATTATTTATAATAATAAAAGCATAATATGCAAATCGACCAAACAGCTGAACAGCAGAACGACCTTCGGACAACCATGCTATGACATGCACTGGCACCAGGCCAGCCAAGGTGGATATGATGCAATTGGCAGGGGAGCCCCGCAGAGGGAGGCCCAGGCCACCGACCAGTGGGCTGCAGCAGGTGGGCAGGGCCTCCCTCTGCAGGGTGATCCATTACTGGGCTCTGGGAGAGGGCGCAGGCCAGGCTGAGGAACACCACCCCCCACCCCCGAGCGCACAAATTTCATGCACCGGGCCTCTAGTCTACTATAAAGCTGCTGGGTTTTCCACCAAAAAATATCTAGACATATTTGTATTTTGCATACAGAATTATATATTTCTAAAGTGAGACTAAAGAAGTCCCGATTCTTCCACATCTTTTTCAAACAATGTGATTATTTTAATTTTTAAAGTTTCTAGCTGCTAAAACTTCGTAAGATTTGGCCTTATGTGGGACTTCTAGACACGGAACCTAAGACAACATGTAACAGGTTCTTCTAAATATTTCTCTTCCAGGCATAAACATCTCATGAAACAACCCAACTTCAGACGTTTTTCATAGTGTCCCTTTACCCAGCAGTGGCGATGGATCAGAAGGGTATGGACAAGCTTTCTTGGGTTTTTGGTGCTCCTTGTCATATCCTAACCAGAGACCCGGGCAGCCAGAGGCAGGAAACCCAGAATGGAGATGATGCTTTCTATGCTGCTATGCCCATCAATGAAATAAATAATGTAGAAAAGAGAACCCTGCTTATACTTAGCTCTGCATCTATAAATAAAACTCTATAAATTGTTCTTTATTAAAGTTACTAAGCCAAGTTATGTCCAAGTCAAAGAACACAGAAGTCAACATGGTTCAACTTACCTGAACAAAGAAAATAAAGTGCTTAAAGGAGGTGTTGAGGTGAGCCTCCTCTTGCAGCTGCATCACAGAATCAAAGTGCTGGTGATAAATATGGGCATAAACCCTGAACAGACGTTTTAGAATGGTCTTTGCCACAGACATAAAGTTTTTGGGAAATGGGACACCTATAATAAATATACATATATATCCATTAGTCTTTTATTTAACTGAACAGCAGAAAGTTTAGATATAGCCATGAGCAACTCCAAAAGACAAACATGCACATTCACAAATACAAGCCTACTGCCATATATACATTTTTAAAAGGCAAGGGAAAAGAGAATCCCAAACCTAAGTATATGAGGTATGCTCATATACCACACATTTTCTATCTTAAAATAGCAGGCACAGGTTTCAAAATTTATATATAAAATGTTACTGAATCAAAATTAAAATAAGCCTATTTGTGGTTAATATTGAAGAGTTTCTTCCTAAGACTAAATGCTACAGGCCAGCAGGTGTGCCTTAGCAGCTGAGCAACGACCCAGGAACCAAGAGTCCACAGGTTTGATTCTTGGTCAGGGCACATGCCCAGGTTGTGGGCTCAATAGGGAGTGCTGATGCAGCCAATTGGTGTTTCTATCTCTCTATCCCTCTCCCTTCCCTTCTCTAAAAATCAACACATATTTTTTTAAAAAGATAAAATGTAACAATATTGAGTATTTGACTATAAATAGAAAATTTTTACTTTTTGTAATCTGTAACTAAAAAAAATTTACACATTCAACTAGGACTGGAAACTCTCCTAAACAAAAGAAAAAAGGCATACTTCAGGTCATCATAATCTGTTTTACAAGTATTTTACTAGTATCTTCTTGAATTACTCTGAAAAGCCAATTTTCTTAAACTAGGAGTATAAACTTTATTTTTTTTTAAAGAGCTATTTTCATTTTTCTGTAGTCTAAGAAGGGAATATACTTCCTAAAAAAAGGGAGGAAGGGCAGCTCCCTATTTTTCCAAGAAAATAAATATCTCCTTAGAAAAGACAGGGAGAGGGTTTAGTGATCTCTTTCCAAGCAGTGCAAGTAAGGATGCAACTGGTTACATTCCTGAGAATTTTGGTTAACAAGACCAAAGTCTCTTAGAAGGCAGGGATAGGAGAAAGACAATACAATTGGCACTGAATACAGTAAATAAACACATAGGAAGGTACTTGCTTCCAAATAACCTTAAAGGTCTGTTCCAGAACATTTACTCTTGAAACATTTTCTTTAAATTTTCAAAGAACAAAAGCTTAAATACTTTTTCCTTCCCTGAATTTTGTTTTGTTTCTCAATTAGTCCTTACTGGCTTGAAATTTAGTATATTTTGCTCTTATAAGCTGATTTTTGTGGGGGATTTCCCCCCATCCCCAGTCTTGGCTAACAACCTGCCCTTTCAGACATTATTCTGAAGTATGGGCTTGTTTTTCTGAAATGGGTCTTGTATTAATGTACTGAAAAGATGGATTTTTATGTCAAATTTCTTTTCAAAATTTGTAAATAGGTACCTTGCTAATAAAAAGGACAGTAATAACTTGGATATACTAGTTTAAAAGTGAATAATTTCTTCTAAGTAGGTAATTGGCATAAGTAAATGTGGTATATAGTAATAACCTAATGAGGGGGAAAAGAATGCCAGGATAAATTATTGATGAATGGGAAGCTGAGAAAAGAATAAAGTCAAAAGTATCTTAAAACTTTAATGAATAAAGAAATATTTGTTTTAGTCTAAGCACTTTCAAGCTGAATTTAACAGAAATATTCAAGCATAATCACTATACAACAAATCTTTATTTGCTATTAAGCAAATAAAATGCTTAATAGAATGGAAAAGTTGACCAATAGCAAACAGAAAAAATGTAACATGATATAACTTCTGAAAAACCTTTAGTTAGACTGCAAACAAGGAATCTGCTATGGTTTGAATATTTGTGTTGTTTCCCCCACCACCCCCTGGCAAAATCCATATGTTGAAGTCCTACCCCCTTGCTGATGGCATTAGTACGTGGAGCTTTTGGGAGTGACTGGGTCATGAGGGCCAACCCTTCATGGATGGGATTATGGCCTTAAAAAGAGGCCTCACAGAGCTGCCCTTCCACTATGAGCCTGCAGTCTGGAACCCAACCATGCTGGCACCCTCATCTCAGACTTTCAGCCTGTAAACTTTGAGAAATAAATTTCTCTTGTTTATGTGCCATCCATTTTCTGGCATTTTTTTTTTTTATTATAACAGCCCAAACAAGACAGAATCCAACAATATGTTGTTCATAAGACACCCTTACACTGAAAATGACAAGGACCAATCTCATCCATAAATACCAATTCCAAAACCTTAATCAAAATATTAGCAAATAAAAATACTCTTCCAGAACATTAAAAAAAAAAAATGAGAAAACGTTATGGCCATTAGTAACACAATTCACACACCTCTAACCAAAAGCAAGATTCTTGCTTAATGCTAAAATTCTAAACGCACTCATCAAAGGAAAGAAGAAAAGGATGTCTGCGTTATCACCATTAGTCAGCACTGCTCTGGAAGTACTAGTTGGTAAGTACAATTAGATAAGAGTTACACAAGAAGTATACATTATCAGAAAGAGGCAAAATTACCATTAGTATGATGGAATTGTATACTTTAAAAACTCAAGAAAAACAACCCAAAACAACAGAAATAATCAAAATCTGGTCAATTATAAAATTTATATAAAAATCAACAGATTTTCTATATACTAAACACTAACCACTGGAAACCAAATATTAATAAAAAAAATTAAATGCCTAGGAATAAACTTAAGAAACTTGAAGGATTAGCATAACTGTAGAATTTTATAAGAGGATACAGCAAATAAGAGACATGAGTAAATGAAGAAATATACCTTATTCTTGGATAGGAAGACACAGGATTGTCAAGAGAACAAGAATCCCTATATAATCTACAAATTGAATAAAATCATAATAAAAATCTCACAAAGATTTTTTTTTTTACCTTGACAAAATGATTCTAAGTTCTTTGGAAGAACAAATATCCCAGAATAGTCGTGAATATTCTGAAAAAGAAGAGCAAGGAAGAGAGACCAGCCCTATAAGATGCTCAAAGATTTATGTCCATGTTTAATTAAAACAGTATGGAATTTCTATAGGAACAGATAAAGAGATTAAAAGACTCCAAAATATGTGACAACTTGATGATCAGGGGAGAAAAGACACATGTATTTGATAAATAGTACTGGACAAACTGACTAGCATTATAAGTGAGGAAAAAATGAAGGGAACAATGAGAAAAAAAATTCCTGACAGAACAAAGATTTAAATGTAAAAACAAAACCACAAAAAAGTACTAAATGAAAACATGGATAAATATTTTTATAATAGTGAAGTAGGGAAAACCTTTCTAATCATTGATTAAAACCCAGACATCATTAAAGAAAAGATTAATAAGACAAAATAAGAAAGTTATAAGAATATATAGCAAAATCACTTGATGAACACAGTAAGACAAAAGGCAACCTAGGGAAAAATACATTTATGACAAAAAGCTAATATCCTTAACATAAAAATAAATGAACAAAGGATATAAAGAGAAAACACAATGATCAATAAACAAAAAATGCTCAATCTCATCAATATCTTAAAAATGTGCCTTAAAACTAACTTACTTACCTAAATTATAAAAAAAATTTTCAGTGAGTAACAACCACTATTGGTGAAGAAACACAGGCAGACACAAACATGTCTGAAAGGAATATACATTTATAATCTTTTACAGAAAAATCTGAGTCTGTTACATTTTTAAAAAATAGAGCGTTAAAAAGCACACAATTATCATTTAAAAAGAAAAACCGTTATACAACATTAACTCACCAATCTTAGAAGGAAAAAGGGTTTCATCATCAAGTTGATCCTGAACCCAAGTCATCAAATAGTCAATGTATTTTGGTGCAGAACATTTGATTGGCTTTTTAATATTAGTACCATCTGCCCAATGATATTCATATCTGAAGAGAGAAAAGTTTTATTGATAAAGTTTTCACATTAACAAATGTGCAACTTATTTTTTTAAAATATATTTTATTGATTTTTTACAGAGAGGAAGGGAGAGAGATAGAGAGTCGGAAACATCGATGAGAGAGAAACATCAATCAGCTGCCTCCTGCACATCTCCCACTGGGGATGTGCCCGCAATCCAGGTACATGCCCTTGACCTGAATCGAACCTGGGACCCTTCAGTCCGCAGGCCAACGCTCTATCCACTTGAGCCAAACCGGTTTTGGCCAAATGTGCAACTTATAATCAAAGTAGGTTCATATTTTGTCAACAGGAATTATATATCTATATCTATATCTTTAGTAAATTACCTAAACTACTGAAGATTACTGAGAGTTTCCCACAGAATTATTTTGAAAAGTGATGGTTATAATTGGAAGAAAAAGAGACGATAATGTGGCAGCTGGCAGTGCCAGAATGGATGTTTTCTAGCACAGCCCTGGGAAAGATAAATGAACTGTATTTCTGTCTGTGAGGCAGAGGATGCAGAGGACTGGGGAAGGGACGGAGGGATCACCGCACTCTGAGATCCTTGGGCACCAAGTTATCACCAGTAGAGTCAAGATCATAAAACCCTGCCCAGCCAGTGTGGCTCAGTGGTTGAGCATTGACCCATGAACCAGGAGGTCACGGCTTGATTCAAGGCACATGCCCGGGTTGTGGGCTCGATTCCCAGTGGGGAGCATGCAAGAGGCAGCCAATGGATGGTTCTTTCTCATCACATATCTTTCCCTCTCCCTTCCTCTCTGAAATCAATAAAAACATTTTTTTTAAATATAAAATCCTGTTTCTTGGAGAGGGTGTTAGTCACGTTTCTAAGAAAGCAACACTTAGGCACTCAATATTCATTCAAAACAAAGAGTATGCTCAGATGGTGTGCTTAACTAGAATGATTAACAAGATTTATACAAAACTTCACTGTATAAAGTATTTAAGCCATAGATCAGTTTAATTTTCTTATTTTATTTAAATTTCTTTAAGAAAGCTTGAGAACTAAAACTTAAATCAACACAAAATAAAAACATCCCTCACCCTAACTGGTTTGGCTCAGTGGATAGAGCCTTGGCCTTCGGACTGAAGGGTTTCAGGTTCAATTCCAGTCAAAGGAATGTGCTTGGGTTGTGGGCTCAATCCCAAGAAGGGGGTGTGCAAGAGGCAGCCAATCAATGATTCTGTCTCATCATTGATGTTTCTATCTCTCCCTCTCCCTTCCTCTCTGAAATCAATAAAAATATATATTTTTTAAATTCCTCATAAAATACTATAATAAAAATAGGATTACCAACTGACTGGGGATCTATCCTTTGCACCTGTAGCAAATTCGGAAAAGACAATTTTTTCCCCCAAGAGGTAAATAAGTATCTTGACAACTACCACCATGACATAAATTCAGTCATTTACTATATTGAAAAGACTGAAAGGAAACACCTAAATCACACACCACCAAACTTTGACAACATATGGGTGACAGAGTTCCATCTCTTTCTCAGTATTTCTTGAAATTTATTATAGTCAATTTTTTAAAAAATCTAGCATCTTTAAGCCAAATAACGAACACAGCACAGTTGGAAGTAATTAACACTAAATAAACACAAGAAAAAGGAATCAAATATTAAAGTTAACTAAAAACTCAGTTTCAAGAAATTAATTTAAAAAACAAAACCATAATGTTAACAGAGTTCTAAATTTCTTTTCCTTTTACAACTCCTTACTGTAATGCAATTACAAAATCAAACACTAAGTACCAAATGCCAAAATATTTAGTAATAACTAAAAGCTTATTGGTATTAAAAATTCATAAAATTGAACTGCTTTTACACAAGCATATAAGAAAAAAAGTCTTTATTATTTAATTTTTATCAATTAGTGATTAGCTTTACTTAGTAATCCTATATAAAATGCAGTAATATGTACCTTGGACCTGCAGACATGACTGAACAGCTTGCTTCAGTGCAGAATTCTGTAATAGTTCCATATAACATGTTGATCTGATTGAAGAAATCCACAGCTAGAAATATAACAGCAGAATTGTGTTAAAATATCTATGTAAACACACCACCATCAGACTTCTCAGTTGAAAGAAAAATAGACAAATTCTTAGCTGAATCCTTGGGAAATTCAACGATCCAAGGATACTGTAAATTCTCTTTTCTTTGTAAGTTGTCACACCTAAGTAAAGTTAACTTTTAATATACATTCATTTTTAATATACTAAGCTTTTAACCAGCATGCAACAGCAGAAAAATAAAAATCAGACATAATTCTAACTTAATGGTGACTATACGTCACTAGAATACACAATTTGATTATATCCAAGGGAATGAAAAAAGCCATAGCTTCTATTCATCTGGACTAGACAATATCATTTGCGTTAGAAAAGTGTTATGAAATACATTGTGAGGGAGAAGGTGTATTGGCAGTTATGAACAATCATTAAAAAAATCCAATTCTGCCAAAACCGGTTTGGCTCAGTGGATAGAGCGTCGGCCTGCGGACTGAGGGGTCCCGGGTTCGATTCCGGTCAAGGGCACGTACCTGGGTTGCGGGCACATCCCCAGTGGGAGATGTGCAGGAGGCAGCTGATCGATGTTTCTCTCTCATCGATGTTTCTAACTCTCTATCTCTCTCCCTTCCTCTCTGTAAAAAATCAATAAAATATATTAAAAAAAAAAATCCAATTCATCGTAAAAAAAGTTGAGGCTACCTCTAGCTGGTTTGGCTCAGTGGATAGAGAGTCGGCCTGAAGACTGAAGGGTCCCAGGTTAGATTCAGTCAAGGACACATGCCTGGGTTGCAGGCTCGATCCCCAGGAGGGGCCGTGCAGGAGGCAGCCGATCAATAATTCTCTCTCATCACTGATGTTTCTCTCTCTCTCCCTCTCCCTCTCCCTTCCTCTCTGAAATCAATAAAAAATATATATTTTTTAAAAATTGAGGCTGAAGACATTAAAAAAAAAAAAAAAAAAAAGACACAGGATAATGTCCCTTGCCCTGGATTCTCCAGCTAACAGAGGGGGCAAAATTACAAGAGATGAATAATACAACATATAAGAAGGTAGTTATACAAAGGCCAACAGTAAATGCGAGAGTTCAGAGAAAAGGCAACATATTAAAGAGTTGAAGTAGTCAGGGAGTACTTGTAAAGGAGCTTCAGCTAGAGCTGCAAAAAAAAATGGAACAGGAAGAAGGTGAGTGAAACAACCGAGTGAAGCATATTACGCACAAAGCGAACCACGTAAGCCTTAAAACCACACATATTTTAAAAAAATGTTTTTGTTCCCTGTCTGAAGGAGTACCTAAAATTCCACTAGGGCTTTTTCAAGTTTCTTAAAAACATATTAAAGGAACTTTGTACAAAATTCCCTCACTTACAAACCTTACTTCTAGTCATGTTTCTAAGAAAGCAATACTTAGGCACTCAATATTCATTCAAAACAAAGAGTATGCTCAGATGGTATGCTAGTTTAGTTTACAAATCTAAAGCAGCAATTTTCAAACCAGTGTGCTGCCAGAAATTTTAAAACATGCAATACCTGACTAGTCAGGGGCACTGACTTCTTTTTCCCTTTAAATTTAAAAATTAAAAATGAGCCCTAACTGGTTTGGCTCAGTGGATAGAGCGTTGGCCTGCAGACTCAAGGGTCCCAGGTTCAATTCTGTGCAGGAGGCAGCTGATTGATGTTTCTCTCTCATAGATGTTTCTAACTCTCTATCCCTTTCCATTCCTCTCTGTAAAAAATCAATAAAATATATATTTTTTAAAATGACAACAGTCAACACAATAGCTGTCTGGTGTGAATGACTCAAAATTATACCTATATTTTGGTCAGATAGGCAAAAATATATTTTTTCCTCTGCTGCAGAATTTTAGCAATTAGTTTATTGTCAGAGAGAAGTTTGTTGTTAGAGAAGAAAAAAGAGAGAAACATCAATTTGTTGTTCCACCTATTTATGCATTCATTGGCTGATTCTTGTATGTGCTCTGACCAGGGATTGAACCCACAACCCTGGCATTTCAGAATGCTGCTTTAACCAACTGAGCTACCTGGCCAGGGCTGCACCTTGTTTTTTCTCTTAGTGATATGAATAATGGCTTTTTAAAGAGTTGAGAAAAGCAAAATTTTTCTTATGTGGCTATTAGAAAATTTTAAATTACATTTGGATCTTACATTATATTTCTATCAGATGTGCTGATCAAGGCAACAGTTATCAATAGCTGATTAATAATATAACACATAAAGACAACTAAACACTATGGAAGTCGCTATACCGTTAGAAGTATATATTACCACCTATGAAGTAGCCTTACAAACAAAATCGTCTGACCAATTCAAGCTCCAAATCTGTGCTAACATGGTAGCCACTAGCCATATGTAGCCACTTACATTAAAATTAAATTAAATTTAAAATTCAGTTTCAGTCACATTAACCACATTTCAAGTGGCCACAGTGCAGATACAGAACACTTGCATCATCACAGAAAGTACTATTGGACAGTGTTGCTCTAGATGAAACAGTTACAGGAAATAAAAGGAGGAACAGAATATAATTGGTGTCTTGGGGATATAATCAGCAAAATTCACACTGTGGAGAACAAATGAACTAATGTCTTCAAGAACAACAAAACAGCAAAGAAAGAAAGACTAAAATGAGGGGAAACATATGTACATATATACAATGGAATACTACTCAGCCATAAAAAAAGATGAAATACTGCCATTTGCAACAACATGGATGGATCTTGTAAATATCATGTTAGGCAAAATAAGTCAGACGGAAAAAGTCAAGAACCATACGATTCACTCATCTATCTACATACTAGAGGCCTGGTGCACAAATTTGTGTATGGGTAGGGTCCCTAGGCCTGGCCGGCAATCAGGGTTAATGGGGGCCTTCCTTCGTGCTGCGCTGCCCCCTGGTGGTCAGAGAACATCACAGTGAGCGATCGAACTCCCAGTCTCCTGGTCGAACTCCGGAGGCGACACTATGCATATTAGCCTTTTATGCATATCTACACTAATAAAAGAGAAACATGGTAATTAGCGTATGACCGCTACCCTTCCCATTGGCTAATCAGCATATCCTTATGCAAATTAACTGTCAGCCAAGATGGCGGCCGGCAGCCATGCACTGAAGCGAGCAGGGAGGCTTGCTTGCTTCAGTGACTGCGGACTCCAACGTCCCCCACCTGCCACTGCCAGCCTCTCAGCTGCAACTCTAAGCAACTATGTACTACGTTGCAAATAAGAAGCTAAACAAAACCCCAGAAGCCAGCCGGACCGCAACATTGTATCGATGTTTTCAGCAGCGAGGCCTCAGAGCTAAAGCTGGCCCAGAATAAAAAAAAAAAAAAAAAAGGAAAAGAAAACAAGGAGCGGTTGGGAGCTTCAGTCACTCACCAACCAGAAAACGGCCCTCAGCCCCTCACCCAGACTGGCCAGGCACCCCAGTGGGGACCCCCACCCTGATCCAGGACACCCTTCAGGGCAAACCAGCCAGCCCCCACCTGTGCACCAGGCCTCTATCCTATATAGTAAAAGGGTAATATGCCTCCCAGCACCGGGGTCAGCGGAGCAGCGAGGCTCCAGGCACCGGGATCAGCGTAACAGGGGGCAGTGCCCAAACCCCATGATCGCCCTGCGGCTCTGTGTGTGACAGGGTGCGGGGCCCCAACCCCCTGATCCGCCCTGCTCTGTTCGTGACAGGGGAAGGCGCCCCAACCCCCTGATCAGCCCTTCTCTGTGCCTGATAGGGGGGAGCTCCCCAACCCCGATTGCCCTGCGGCTCTGTGTGTGACAGGGTGCAGCGCCCCAACCCCCGCCCCCCCATGGGCCCTGCTCTGTGTGTGACAGGGTAGAGCCATAACCTCTCCATCGGCCCTGCCCCGAGTGTGACAGGGTGCAGTGCCCCAACCCCCTGATCCGCCTGCTCTGTGTGTGACAGGGGGCGGTGCCCCAACTCCCCTATCGCCCTACTCTGTGAGTGACGGGGGGAGCTCCTCAACCCCCTGATCGGCCCTGCTCTGTGCGTGACAGGGGGGAGCTCCCCAACCCCCTGATCGACCCTGCTCTGTGTGTGACAGGGTACGGAGCCCCAACCCCCCTGATGGGCCCTGCTCTGTGAGTGACAGGGGGCAGCGCCCCAACCCCCTGATCGGCCCTGCTCTGTGCATGACAGGGGGTGGCGCCACAACCTCCCCATCGACCCTGCCTTGAGTGTGACAGGGGGCGGTGCCCCAATCCCCCAATCGGCCCTACCCTGAGCGTGACTGAGGGTGGCATCGCAACCTCCCGATCCGCCCTGCTCTGTGCATGATGGGACGGCGCCCCAACTCCCCAATCGGCCCTGCTCTGAGCCTGACCAGGGGCTGCACTTAGGGATTGGGCCTGCCCTCTGCCACTCAGGAGCAGGCCTAAGCCAGCAGGTCGTTATCTCCTGAGGGGTCCCAGACTGCGAGAGGGCACAGGCCAGGCTGGGGGACCCCTCTCCCCACCCCCCCGAGTGCACAAATTTTTGTGCACCGGGCCTCTAGTAGTAGATATAAAAGCCTAAGCGACTGATGGGTAGCTATGACATGCACTGAACACCTGGGGCAAATGTTCAATGCAGGAGCTGCCGAGCTGCACTGACTTGGCAGCTGTGGTTCTCGGATGACCCACTCGGAACCAGAGAGGAGGGAGCCCGATTCCAGGGTACATCATCAGAGAACCGCCCTCTCGCAATCTGGGACCCCTCAGGGGATCGTGCACCAGGTTTCTAGCATGGAATATAAAACTGAAAGCACAAATGAACAAACAAAAAAATCAATCAAAAACTCAAGCCCTGCCCTAGCCGGTTTGGCTCCGTGGATAGAGCATTGACCTGCAGACTGAAAGGTCCCGGGTTCGATTCCAGTCAAGGGCACATGCCCAGGTTGCGGGCTCGATCCCCAGTGGGGGGCATGCAGGAGGCAGTCGATCTCTCTCTCTCTCCCTCTCCCTTCCTCTCTAAAAAATAATTTTAAAAATTTTAAAAAACTCAAGCCCTAGCCCTAGCCAGTTTGGCTCAGTGGATAGAGTGTTGGCCTGTGGACTGAAGGGTCCCAGGTTCGATTCCAGTCAAGGGCACATGTCTGGGTTTTGGGCTCGATCCCCAGTAGGGGGTGTGTAGGAGGCAGCCAATTGATGATTCTCTCTCATCCTTTCTCTCTCCCTCTCCCTTCCTCTCTGAAATCAATAAAAATATATTAAAAACAACAGCCCTGGCTGGTTCGGCTCAGTGGATGAAGCGTTGGCCTGCGAATCAGGTTCAATTCCAGTCAAGGGTACATGCTCAGGTTGCGGGCTGGATCCCCAATGGGGGACGTGCAAGAGGCAGCCAATCGATGATTCTCTCTCATCATTGATGTTTCTGGCTCTCTCTCCTTCTCCCTTCCTCTCTGAAATCAATAAAAATATGTTTAAAAAAACAAAACAAAAAACACCTCAAGCCCTAGCCAGTTTGGCTCAGTGAATAGAGTGTTGTCCTATAGACTGAAGGACGATGGGTTTGATTCCAGTGAAGAGCGCATACCTCAGTTACAGGCTAGATCTCCGGTGCATGCTAGAGGCAACCAACTGAAGTCGCTATTCCACTAGAAGTATATACTACCACCTCTGTGGTGGTTACCAGAGGGAAAGGGAGTCAAATATATGGTGACAGAAGATCTGACTTTGGGTGGTGAGTACACAATGCAATATACATATGATGTATTATAGAATTTGTATACTTGGAACCTATATAATTAACTGTCACCCCAATAAATGTATTTTTAAAATTTAAAAAAAGAAGGAAAAAACTGGCCTTCCTGGATCCTGATTTAAACCAACCATACATTTTTTTTTGTTTTTCTTTATTTATTTTTAATCCTCACCCGAGGATATTTTGCCATTGATTTTTCAGAGAGAGAGTGGAAGAGAGAGGGAAAGACAGAGAGAAATATTGATGTGAGAGAAACACATCAATTAGTTTCCTCCTGCACAAGCCCGACTAGGGCTCAGGCCAGGGAGGAGCCTGCAACTGAGGTATATGCCTTTGACCAGAATGGAATCGGGACCCTTTGGTCCGCCAACCATACATTTTTGTAAAATATATATATTTTTTATTAATTTTAGAAAGAGAGTAAGGGGGCGAGGGAAAGAGAGAGGGAGAGAGAGAGGAGAGGAGGGAGGGAGGGGGAGAGAGGGGAAGGGGGGGAAAGAGGGAGAGGTGGTTGAGAAACATTGATCAGCGGCCTCCTGCATGCCCCCTACTGGGGATCGAGCCCACAACCTGGGGCTTATGCCTTGACTGAGAATAGAACTGGCAACCTTTCAGTGCACAGGACAATGCCCAACCAACTGAGTGACACTGGCCAGGGCTCAATCATACTTTTTTTTTAAAGAAACATTTATAGGACTATCAGCAGAAATGTGAACACTGATTGCATATTTGATATCATAAAGGAATGGTGGTATCATTATCTTTAAAGGGAGAGTTATCTGCCCTAACCGGTTTGGCTCAGTGGATAGAGCATAAGCCTGCAGACTGAAGGGTCCCAGGTTCGATTCCGGTCAAGGGCATGTACCTTGGTAGCGGGCACATCCCCAGTAGGGGGTGTGCAGGAGGCAGCTGATCGATGTTTCTCTCTCATCGATGTTTCTAACTCCCTATCCCTCTCCCTTCCTCTCTGTAAAAAATCAATAAAATATATTTAAAAAATAATAAAATAAAATAAAAGGAGTTATCTTTTAGACATACTGAAATCTTTATAGATGAAATAATATGTCTGGGATTCACTTCAAAATAATCAGGGTGAGATACACAGAAGAATTATGAATTGGCCATGAACTGATCATTGTTAAAGCTGGATAATGGTTACCTGGGAATTCACCGTGCTAGTTTCTCTACTTTTGTATGTTTGAAATTTTCCATTAAACAGTTTATTTATTTATTTTAAATATATTTTTACTGATTTTAGGGAGAAAGAGAGAAAGATAGAAACATCAATGATGAGAGAAAATCACTGATCAGCTACCTCCTGCATGCCCCACATTGGAGATCAAATGCACAACCCGAGCATGTGCCCTGACCAGGAATTGAACCATGACCTCCTGGTTCATAGGTTAACACTCAACCACTGAGCATGCCAGGTGGGAAAATAGTTTAAAAAATTCCCGAACACTGGAAATTTTTAATAAATTTAATCCTTATCACCCATAGCTGATTTTATCTCAGAAATATAACCTTAATATTCAAATCTCTAGTCTCTGCATATTCTTCCATGTCATGCCCTCACTTTCTTGAACTCAAGAGTGACTTTCTGCTTATAGATTCCACCATTTTCTCCCAATCTCTCAATTCCCTATGACTACTCAAGTCACAACAAATAAGTGATTACAGCTTTGAACTGCAATTGACTTTTCTGTATACATAGTAGGCAAATTAGAGTTGCTGGGTTTGGGAACACAACTATACAGATGGATTCCCTACAAAGTCATGGTCCACGACAAGTGGAATCTTTGCATGTATCAATCTCTTACTTAAGTTTACTCAGCTGCATTCTCCCAAGCACTCACCATTTCTTCTTAGGTCTCCTTACTCAACCAGAAAGGCTACAACCAAGTACTCCAAAGAGAACACTACAGTTTTTAATGTATTTGTATTTATGTGTTTCTTTACAGATAATCTGTTATATTACAACCCTCACATACCTGTTAAAATAAAATTCATTAACAAAAAGATTTTAGCAAACCTTCCTATAAACCAGCAAAGTTGAATGTTATTAAAACTTACTATTAACGGCAATCCATTCATTGAGATCCTCTCCCTCCGGCAACATAACAGCTTGTCTCAGATTCCCGCTTCCTAGAGTTGCTTCTGCGTGTTTTAAGAGTTCATACTGATGAGACCCTTCAGGGATATTCTTCTTTGGTTTGAATGTTTTAGAAGAGCGGCTGCTGCTGTTAGGTTAAAAGAAAAAGTATATAAATTTTTAGGACTAGAAAGAAGCAGAATGGCATAATTTTAATGGCATAATATAAATTGTAAAATAAAATAAAAAATACTTCCTGAAAAGTGCCAGGGTTTGGGGTAGGGGGAGATGATCACAATAAAAAGAATGCTTTAAATTTCTTTCCTCATGTAGACACAGTATTAGCAGCACAATGTCACATAAGGCAATTTAACTATGCCTCCTGAAGCAGTCTGGTGTAATAGAAAGGGCACTTGAACCAAAAAAAAGAAAAAACCTGGATGCTAGTCCTTGATCTGCCACTATCTCTGTGGATGCTTGAGAAACCTAATCTCCCTTTGGCCTCAATTTCCACCTACACAAAATGGTGCTGCGAGGGAAGTAGCCCTAAGGTTCTAATAGCTCAAAAAGTTTCTATACCAAAATATTTGGGATGCCATCAAAGCAAACCACAGCGGAAGCAACACATTTTTTGAAGTTTTAAGCAGAAGAAGTAAATGAGAGAGAGACAACTGATTATTGGGGGGAAAGTAGGTTTTTATTCCTATCTCACACCATCCACAAGAAAGGTCTTCCTAACATGTCACAAAACCCAAACCTTAAATGGATGAATTTCATATTATAATGATTAAAATTCAGTAACAGAGCAAAAAGATAAGTAACCAAAAAAAGTACTTGCAATATGTATTACAAAAGATAAACTGGATTAATAATGGGCTTCCATCACCTGTTAAGAAAAAGGTAAGGTACCCTTTAGAGGAGTGGTTCTCAACCTTGGCTGCACATTAGAATCACGTGGGAATCTTTTTAAAATCCTGATTTCTGGGCCTCATCCTCCGGAAATTCTGTTTCTTTGTTACTAATGTTGTGGCCCCACCCCATAACAAGAGAAATGAGATGAATAGGCAATTCAGAAGGAAAACTACAATGACCAATGAGCATCTGAAAAGCTATTTAATTAAAATAAGATATTTCCTTAAACTGAGTGTCAAAAGTGAAAACAATTACCTTAAGTGTGGTATAGAGAAATTAGTGCTTTAATACAGCACTGGTGAAAGGGCAAAGTGTTTTGGGAGGGCAATATGGCAGTATCTGTTAACACTGAAATGTTCCTCAATCCATCCCTTCCACTAAGTATCTCTTAGATATGGTAAGGATGTGTATTCCAAGATTGTTTTTAACAGTGAAAAATCTGGAAACAATCGTAAGGCTAATTAGAAGAATGAACAAACTAACTATGATACATCTGTGTCATGGAGTATTGCATTGTAGTTAAGAACAAGATACAAGGACAAGATAGAGAGCTACATGTATTTACTTGAAAAGATCTCAAACATGGTTAAAACAAAACCAAATAAACAGCAGGAACCCATTTTGTAAATCTACAGAAAGGATACAAATCAAATTGATAGTGGTGATTACTTACTTCTAAGAAGGGGAAAGGAATAAACTGTGGGCTTTCATTTTACCCCAGTAATTTGAATTTTAAATAAGATTAAGAAGTAAAATGAATTATAAAAACACTAAGATTCAAATATGGAAAGTTTTTCAACGTGGTAAACACCTATATTTATTAGGGGAGTACTAAATTACAAGGAATTGCCTTTTATATCTAGAAAAGCTGTGAATGACAGAAAACTAAATTTGGAAGGCATAGAATGATGGCTCAATATTCAAATATTATCATCATCTAAATCGTGATTCAAATGACACCAAGACAGTGAAAAAGAATCCACAAAACGTGAGAAAATATTTGCAAATCATAGATGTGATAAGTGAGTGACTTGTATCAAGGATAAAGAATTCTTACAACTCAAAAACAAGAGAACCCAATTTAAAAAAAAAAAAACGGCCAAAAGTTGTCAACTATAATTAAAATATACAAATGGCCAATAAGCACACGAAAGGCTGCTCAACCTTCTTAGTCATTAGGGAAATGCAAATTAAAACCACAGTGAGATGCCATTTCACACCCACAGAGGACGGTTATAATAAAAAAAGAAGAGAGAGAGAGAGAGAGAGAGAGAGAGAGAGAGAGAGAGAGATAGATAGATAGATATGAGACTGACAGGTCCCTGTTGCAAATGCAAAAACGGTGCGGTGCTTTGAAAAAGTTTGGCAGTTCCTCCAAAGATTAAACCTAATTGCGGTGGAGCTCAGTAATCCCTCGCTCAGGTAGAACACCCAAGAGAAATGAACACACCAACACAAAAATGTGTCCAGTTCATAAAAGTTCACAGCATTATTCGTAAAAACCCCAAAAGGTGGAAGCTCAGATACCCATCAACAAAACAAAGTTCAGGAGAAATACAGAGCCTCACACTGACATCCAAAAGCAACTAGGCAACGTGCACACACAAACCAACCGCTAAATAAACATGGACTCGCAAGAGAAAGACTTGGGGGAGGGATGGGAGAGATGGTTCCAGTAACACAGGAATTTGCAATGAAAATCTAAACCATACAGACTTCCTGACCTGATCATCAGACTCTGAAGACTCTATACCCTTAACACGACAACCCAGAGGGGGAAAGCGACCTGGACCAAGGCCTTCTCCGCACTGTAGTCCCATTTTATAAATAGCGAAGGAACCCTCATTTCTCACGATAAGGAGCTAGTTAGATGAACTCTGGCTATGAAACACCATGCAATTCTGAACTTTAATAAAAACGTCAAGTATGTGGGTGATGTCTGTAACGAAAAATGGGTCTTTAGTCATTCAGACGACACACGCGTAAGCAATGCGCTGCGTGGAGGGAGCCACCTGAGCAGAATCAACAAGACGCCGGCGCAGTGCTTCTCGCGCGGCAGCACCGCACGTTTTTCCGGGGCGGCGTTTTTCCTCGGGGCTTTTCTAACACCGACGGTAACAGAACTGGACCAGCGGCGGAGTAAACGCTCAGTCAGCACGGATCCTCGGAGGAGCTCCGGGCTCCGCCCCCAGGTCGCCCCGTCGCCCTCCGGGCCGCTCGAGCGGAAAAGTTTGGAGGCGCTATGGCCCTGGGGCCTTTCTACTCCTCGGTCTCTTCGCTCCGCTTCCTCGGCGTCGACTTTCCCTCTCCGTCTGCCTCGGCCCAGGTCCTAGCCTCCCCCCGTGACCCTAAACCGGAGCAAACCAAGCGCCGACCACCCCGACCCCGGGGCCGGCCCTCACCTCAGGCGCCCCCTCTGCCCTTCGCCGCCCTCCGCCCTCAGCCCCGGACCCCGGGCCCGGCTGCACTCACAAGAGGAAGCTCATCTTCTATCCTCAGAGGGGAGGGGAGGGGCCGCTGGCCCCGTCGCAGTCGGGACTCGGAGCCCGCACGGGAACCGAAAGGTAGCAGGTAGGCCTCAACCCGCCGACAGCGGAAGCACTGGCCGCCGCTGCTCCGAGCCGGGGTCCAGCCAGTATAAGCGGGTGCAAGCTGCGGCGCCCACCTCACGCGCCTCCCCCACCTAGCGGAGAGGAAATGCGGAACCAGCCTAATCTCGCGAGAAAAGCCTGCTCTCTGCCCCGCCCCGCCCCCAGCTGAGCGTTACGCGGCTCCGCCCTCTTTACAGATCACCCAATCACCAGCCCCCGGGCCTGGACTTCCTTTCCTGGGAGGCGTGGTCGGGTTGCGGTCCTAGGCCGCCGAGAGCGGCTGGCCTTGTATTTGACCCAGCTTGTTGCTGTTGGTTTAAGTTCCCTAGGTAGCGTGGGGGCCTCTAAAAGTTTTAATTTTATTTTTAAATTGAGGTATAATTCACACAGCATAAAAGTCACTCTTTTAAAATATATATTCACGGAGCTGTGCAACCATCCACGCTATTCTAGAATATTTTTGTCACCGCATAAAGAAACCGGTACCCATCAGCCGGCCTCCTCGTCTCAAGCCCTGGCTGCAACTAGTCTACCCTTCTTTTTATATACATTTGCCTGACCTGGACATGTGATATAAATGGAATCATGTGCTCTTTGTATAACTGGCTTCTTCCACTTAGCACAATGTTTCCAAGATTCATCTTTATGTTGTAATATGTACCAGTATTTCATTCCTCTTTACAGATGAGTAATATTCCATTGTATGAATATACCTTACTTTGTTTATCCATTCATCTGTTGATGGACACTTCTGTTTCCACATTTTCACCATTATGAGTAATGTGACTATGAACATTTCCACACGGGGTGGAGGGTGGAAAAGCAGGGTTTGCCACCCCAAACTATGCCTTTTGAAATATTGATCATTTTAAACTGGTTATTTTCAAGAAACAGAAGACACAGAAAGAACCTTTAACCTCCCCCCTAACTGCCCCTAAAAAATTGTTGAGAGAACCTGCTCCAGAAAGGGACCTAGTATCATATAAAACTACAGTTTAATATGAATTAAGTGTGACAGACAGGAAGGAACCTATCAAGCCTCTCTAATCAAATTCCTTTCTATGTCCCATTGTTAAAGATGTCTCAGCAAACATTTATTTACCAAATATTTGCTTTTTGCATCAACATGTGAATTGCCTTCCTGTCCTTTGTAGTTTATGTTCTCTTCTACTTTTCTTTTTTTTTTTTTTTAAATATACTTTATTGATTTTTTACAGAGAGGAAGGGAGAGGGATAGAGAGTTAGAAACATCGATCAGCTGCCTCCTGCACACCCCCCACTGGGTATGTGCCCGCAGCCAAGGCACATGCCCTTGACCGGAATCGAACCCGGGACTCTTCAGTCCGCAGGCCGACGCTCCATCCACTGAGCCAAACCGGTTAGGGCTCTTCTACTTTTCTAAATTTCCAACTTTATTCTAGTAAGCAAATACTTATATTATTTTTTAACTTTTGTTTTTTTAAAAAGAAGCAAGATAGAATAGTGACTAAAAAGCTCATATTTTGGAGGTGACAGTCTGGGCTGAACCCTGCTAGTACTACTTAATAACCATGTGATCTTATGCTTCAGTTTTCTCATCAGTAAAACTGGGGGCAAACTCATAGGGTTGTGAGGATTAAATGAAAGGGAAAGAATTCAGTTCTTAGAACATAGATACACTCAATCAACATTTGCTATTTAAAAGGGAAGAACATTTTAATTGATTGTTTTAGATGTTTGCATTGATTTTTTTAAATTTTATTTATTTGTTTAAATCCTCACCTGAGGTTATTTTTCCCATTGATTTCTTTAGAGAGAATGGAGGGGAGGGAAGAACAGGTGGGGAGAGAGAGAGAGACAGCAATGTGAGAGAAACACATCAATTGCTCACCTCCTATTGGAACCTCGATCAGATATGGATCAAGCCTTCAACGAGGTATGTGCCCTTGACCAGGAATTGAACCCTAGTCCCTTCCATCCACGGGCCGACGCTCTAACCACTGAGAAAAATTGGCCAGGAATTATTATTTTTTTTAATATATTTTATTGATTTTTTACAGAGAGGAAGAGAGAGGGATAGAGAGTTAGAAACATCGATGAGAGAGAAACATCGATCAGCTAGCTGCCTCCTGCACACCTCCTACTAGGGATGTGCCCGCAAGCAAGGTACATGCCCTTGGCCAGAATCGAACCCGGGACCCTTCAGTCCGCAGGCCGATGCTCTATCCACTGAGCCAAACCGGTCAGGGCAGGAATTATTATTTTTAGAGAGAAAGGAAAGGAGAGGGATAGAGAGATAAAAACATCGATGATAGTAAAGCATCATTATGGGCTGCCTCCTGCACGCCCCCGACTGGGGATGGAGCCCTCACTTGGGCATGTGTCCTGACCAGGAATTGAACCAGTGACCTCTTGGTTCCTGGGTTGAAGCTCAACACTGAGCCACACTGGCTGGGCTAATTGATTTTTTTCTAGAGAGAGGAAGGGAGAGGGAGAGAGAGAAACATTGAGGGGATCAAGCCCATAACCCAGGCATGTGCCCTGCGGGGAATTGGACCAGCAACCTTTCAGTGCATGAGACAAACAACCAAAGAAAGTGAGCCACATCGGCCAGGGTTTGACATGTTTTATCCCCCCTATTAGCTGGCCAGCTTCCTGAGAGCAAATCACGACTGTTTATCGTTGTGCAGTCTTTTACCGGTGCCTACTGTGGGGCCTTGTATCAGCGTATACGTTCAGCAAATGTTTGCTAAATGAATGCAATTGCATATTTGGCTAAATATTATTTTAGAACAATTGTTTTAAACTGATGCAGTCCCTTAATTTCAGAAGTTTTGTGGAGCTCGGGAATCTCTCTGCCTTTACCTACCTTGGGATTCCCCAGATGAGAACAATCTCTCATCAAATGGCAGTGAAATGGCCAGATATAGAAATGCATATTTATATTTTCTGGGAGAGATGCAAGTGCCTAGATACTTTCCCAAACACTTTTACAAGACAGCCATGTGGGAAAACCACAGAGATATCACTAAGATACTGGAGTGAGGGCCACAAGGAAAGTCCTGTTGGTTCTGTACCCTTGGCTGATAAGAAAGAATGTAGCCATTAAAGGCTAGAGCAGTGGTTTACACTGAAAACTAAATCTATGTATCTTGGATGCATATGTGTTTTCTGTGAGAATTTTTTAAAATATGTTTTTATTGATTTCAGGGAGAGGTAGGGAGAGGGAGAGATAGAAACACCAATGATGAGAGAGAATCATTGATGGCATCCCCTACTGGGGATCCAGCCCACAATCCCAGGCATTTGCCTTGACCAGGAATCAAATGATGACCTCCTGGTGCATGGGTCAATGCTAAACCACTGAGCCACACTGGCCAGGACTATGAGAATGTTTTATATTGGTGTTTTCAGTTTGTCATACACACTTTCTGACTCTGTGGTCTAATCCTATATAATAAAAGGCTAATATGCAAATCAACCAAATTGCAGAACAACCGGTTGCTATGACGTGCACTGACCACCCAGGGGCAGACGCTCACCACAGGGGCTGCCCTGGGTGGTCAGTGCGCTCCCACAGGGGGAGCACTACTCAGCCAGAAGCGGGGAGCGGGCTTAAGCTGTCAGCCGGACATCCCTGTGAGCTCCCGGACTGCGAGAGGGCACAGGCTGGGCTGAGTGAGGGACCCCCCCACCCCCAAGTGCACAAATTTTGTGCACTGGCCCTCTAGTAGAAGTATAATGTGTAATTTAATTTTTTCTAGTATATATATTTTTTAAGCAAAAATAAACACAAAATCCCAGGTGAAATTAATCTGATAATATATTTTATTTAACCCACCATATCCAAAATAATGTGATTTTTAACAAGGAGTCAGTTTTTAAAATTTTGATGAGATATTTAACTTTTTTCATCCTAAGTCATCAAAGTATGATGTGAGGGTATTTTAAATCTACAGCTTAATTTGGACTAGTCACATTTCAAGTGCTCAGTAGCCACATGTGGCTCATGGCTGCTATATTGGACAGTACAGGATAGATCAACTGTATGATCTTATAAACACAATTTCAGTACTGTGGGTCCATTTATACTTGCTCTCTTTAAGGTTTTATTTTTTAAAATTTATTTTTAAAATATATTTTTATTGATTTCAGAGAGGAAGGGAGAGGAAGAGATAGAAATATCAATGATGACAGGGAATCATTGATTGGTTGCCTCCTGCACGCCCCCTACTGGGGACTGAGCCCTGCAACCCAGGCATGTGCCCTTGACCAGAATGAAACCAGGGACCCTTCAGTCCGCAAGCCGATGCTCTATCCACTGAGCTAAACCGGCTAGGGCAGGGGTGGGCAACCTTTTTGTGAGTGTGTGCCAAAACCAGCAAAATCTCTGACTCAAAATTCTTCTGCGTGCCAACCCTAATTTTTTGAGAACATGTTACGCCTACTTGATATCTCTTAAGGTGTATGTATGTGAAAAACCTTGAAGAAATAATAAAATTTATTCGAGTGACAAAAACACAGTATATGATGATGAAAAATACATTTATTTTTTAATGTGTACATGCACACTGATAGTCCGACAGAAAACTTTATGACTCCGTTTGATATTATCAGTGGGACTTTTGCTGCTGAGAGAAACATAGAAATTTATTCCCCTTTTGTTAGTACCGGTGGGCAAAGCGAGAGAGAAGGTTTCATTTTTATAGAGTGAAATTTTGAATAATTGGGTGAGGTGGTTGTCTTGTCAACGAAAACCCGTTGCGTCTGAGGCTGAAACCAAATCACTGGTCGGATCTAGGAAGGCAGGGAGAGTTAAGGCAGAGGCATAGAAATTGCTCTTCCCCTCTCTCGTCAATCCATGTCTATGGTCTTTAAGATAACTTGTTATGTAAAATTATTTATTTATCTAAGATGCACCTACACTGAATTTATCTGAAAAATAAAAAAGTCGATATTAAGAAAAAAATTGTAAATGGAAGATTATAAGAGAGGGTTTCGCGTGCCAGCAAAAGTTACTGGCGTGCCATGTTTGGCACGCGTGCCAGGGGTTGCCCACTCCTGGGCTAGGGCTATACTTGCTCTTGTTGGTACCAAAGTGCCAAGTCGTTACTGTCTAATGAAACATTA